CACAAGTTTATCAAGAACTGTTACATTACAATTCAGCAAACATCTTATAGAGATTCTGCTTCAACTAGAAGGCCTTGATCTCATAACCTCCAACTCTTTGAAGCCCAAATCCAGGATGCCACCTTCCAAGGTGCCACCTTCCTAGTTTTTTTTAATCACAAGAGCACGATGGCCATTTTAGTTGCCCTGAATTTGCGTCGTCCCCTCCCCAAAAGCGCCGGGAAGTGCATCTCACTGCAAAATTGTGCAAGATCACAGTGACCAAAATGACCACCATTCTCTCACAATAAAAAAACGCTTTTTTTTCCTAGGACACTTGTGGGATATGTGCTCTCAGAGCAGGCCGAAGATCTTTTGCTGCCTGAGGTGGAAGAGAAGAAGGCATCTCTCCACGATCCACATACGGAAGCACTGGTGTTTGAAGCTTAATACAATGCTGGTGATGGGATATCATCCCCTGTGCTACGCCTGAGGTAGAAGGCTAGATCAGGAGGCAGTAAAGGTAAAGGGACCCCTGACCATTAGGTCCAGTCGTGACCGACTCTGGGGTTGCGGCGCTCATCTCGCTTTATTGGCCGAGGGAGCCGGTGTACAGCTTCCGCGTCATGTGGCCAGCATGGCTAAGCTGCTTCTGGCGAACCAGAGCAGCGCACAGAAACAGTTTACCTTCCCCCCGGAGCGGTACCTTATTTATCTACTTGCACTTTGACATGCTTTCGAACTGCTAGGTTGGCAGGAGCAGGGACCGAGCAACGGGAGCTCACCCAGTCGCGGGGATTTGAACCGCTGACCTTCTGATCGGCAAGTCCTAGGCTCTGTGGTTTAACCCACAGCGCCACCTGCCTTCAGGAGGCAGTATATACTGTGAAATACACACAGCTCTGCTCTCCAGGAGAGGGCATAGCCTGGGGGCTTTTAAAGGAGCTGCCTCTGAAGCTGTCTCGGAAATTTGAGCTGGTGCAAAATGCCACTGCCAGGATGCTAATGGGGGCCAGAAAGTCTGAACATGTGACTCTACTTCCCCCTGCCCACCAACTGCATTGGCTACCAGTGTATTTCCAGGTCCAATTCAAAGTGCCAGTATTAAACTTTAAGACTCTAAATGTTATACTACCAGATTACCATAAGACCCACCTACATTGCATGGCCCTGCCCATACTCTTAAGATCTGCATCTGAAATCCTGCTTGCGTGCCTGTCAATGATTTGGTGATTACACAAGACGAGGCCTTCTTAGTGGTGATTCACACTTGAGGACTCTCTTCCAGTTTACATGCATTTGACCCTTCAGCTCTGGCATATAAGGTGTCCTTAAACCAGAGCTTTCCAAACTGTGTGTCGTGACACATTAGTGGGTCAGCTGCAGTGTGCAAGTGTGTCGTGCGAACACGCCCCACGCTCCTCCTGGGGCTGGAACGAGTTAGTTTAACTTTTGGTTTGCTAGTAAAACTGAATTACAGTGTCACGAAATGATGCATGTCCAAAAAGTGTGTCAACAGCTTGAAAAGTTTGGAAAGCTCTGCCTTAAACACATACCTTTTTACTACTGCCATTCCTCAAGATAATTTTGTTGATGTACTTCAGTAACTCTCATGCATCTACTTCTCTGTCTCTTTTCACTCAGTGCATCACACTCGGAGGTTCTACTGTTTTTATATCTGAACAAAAATGAATGAAGTTATTTAACTCAGACAACGGTAAAGAAGTCTTAAATTATTAACAGTGGAGGGTGGTCTATTAGGATGAATGGAGCATTGCCCCACCATTCTGCTTGCTCCCAGCCAGCCCCTGCCTGCCTTCCTTACAACCAGTCCAGGGATGGCATCCTCTGTCAGCTTCCTCTTCCTTCGTCTCAGTGTTGTCCTTGTAGAATTCAACAGGGAAGATGATGGGGACAAACTAGAATTAGTTGACTCTTGTCTGTAATCTATGGCTCCACCTACTGTTGGCCTCCTGCCTTAAGTCCCAATGGGCACCACCCACCATTTTTGAGGAATGGAGGAGGAAGCGTTCGCAGCAGGGACATAGGCAGCACCTGAGGGATCTTAACTCTCAACAAGTATCCCCCCCCTGTGTATTTTGGGAAATGTTTTGTCCATTTGTCCTCTCTTATGTTCAGACGACTCTCAATATAGCATTGCCAAACTTAGCACAAGGGTGCCTGAAGTGGAGCGTGGCAGTTTTTGTCAATGTTCAAATGCTGGCTGCCATTTTGAATCAAGTTGGTGGACTGAAATGTGACTTGGGCATGACTTCCCGTGATTTTCAACCCAATGAGTCCAAACTTTGCTGACCTCACCCAGAAGCTTCATAACTGGATGGTATCAAAAGCCAATGAGAGATCCAGGAGAACCAATGGACCACACACTTCTGTCTGTCTCCCAGAGAAGGTTATCCATCATCCAGGGCAACAAAGGCCATTTTGGTCCCACGCCAGAGTCTCAAACCTCTGTGTAAATATTTGCTACTAAGTTCATTTCTGCAAACAGAAGGAACTGCTGAAATAAGATCACAGCAAAATAGATCAGTCCGCCACTAGGTGGTGTGCCAGACCAACAGTTAAGAGTACAGAAGAGTAAGACGAATAAAAATAAGAGTTCCTACCCAGAAGGCTTGTCTGGGAAGATGCTCTTTAAGAGCTGTAACTTCCCAGTGTTTTAAGATGCATATAATGCTTATATATGTATATGTGTGCGCACACACACACATCATGGGCCAAGCCTAGAGAAGGGCAACACAATTCCCCAAACACCTTTACATTTTGTCACAATTTTAAAATTTCAAAATGTAGATTTTTATTTCACATATATTAAGACCTGTTTTTCAGAATATAATGGGCATTATGTTTTATTTTTAAAAATAAAAATGGATTTTACACCCACCCCACAGGGCTCAAACATCCAGCCAGGCACATTTTGTAAATATCTTCCAGGTTTTTTTATAACTTAAGTGGTGTGTAAAGGTAAAGGTAAGTAAAGGTAAAGGTAAAGGACCATTAGGTCCAGTCATGGACGACTCTGGGGTTGCGGCGCTCATCTCGCTTTATTGGCCAAGGGAGCCGGCGTACGGCTTCTGGGTCATGTGGCCAGCATGACTAAGGCTTCTGGCAAACCAGAGCAGCGCACGGAAACGCCGTTTACCTTCCTGCCGGAGCGGTACCCATTTATCGACTTGCACTTGACATGCTTTCGAACTGCTAGGTGGGCAGGAGCAGGGACCGAGCAACGAGAGCTCACCCCGTTGCGGGGATTCTAACCACCGACCTTCTGATCAACAAGCCCTAGGCTCTGTGATTTAACCCACAGCGCCACCTGCGTCCCTCTAAGTGGTATATACATTTTATGAAATAAATGAAATGAGATAGCCTGTGAAACTGGGTCCTATCTGGCTTACCAGAGGTCCCAGCTTGAGGCAAAGTGAGAAGTGGCACCCTGCCCTGCCACTGTTCCCACCATCACCTAGTTATCCAAGAGGATACAAGAGGAAGAAAATACTTTGAAAATTATGTTTAAGTGGCAGTAGACCCCGCTGCAGTTTCCCCATATGAATCGTAAGCTTTTCCCAAGTTGTTGGAGACGGTGCAATGTTCTGGGATACCTGATCCATATGTAGTGAGGCTGTGTCCTGATGCAATCATTTTGCCAAAACATGCTTTCTCTGAAATTCCTATTATAACCAATCATAATTTGATTTTGAATCCTAAATTAGCACTTCTTGTCACTTGAGAGCAACTCTTAACTGTGAGGTTCCATCTCACGTGTCTCTTTTCTCTTAGCTACAGCCAGGATGGAGAGAAACGGTCTATCTACCTTGCCAGAGGAAAGAAGACAAATGTGGCAGGTCCTGAAGTATGCCAAATCTAGGATGGAAAAGGCTGTCAGATCAGCCAGTGTTGCACAGATCTTGTGTGATAAACATAGACGGTAGCAGCCACTGTATTGGCAAGTCTTCCCTAGATAAAATCCCCCTGTGACATGCACATCCTTTCCTTCTTCCAAGTAGATTTCAGCCTTAAAATTACCCTGAGAGATAGTGTAGGCTGACATCGGGTTGCCTGAGTTAACCCACAGTCCTCTTGAAGCTCTTCTGTGGGCAAGGAGACTTGTTGTGAACCCCAGAGATGCAGCTGATCACCATCTTAGGATTCCCCCAACCATCTTAAGGCACCAAGTCTGAGCTGAACGAATGCAGCTTTGAGTTCCTTCTCCCCAAGTCGTGATCATGTGATTGCTTCATTGCCTACCCAGCCCTCCAAGGTCTATTGCAAAGAGTCAGTGTTGGAAAGGGCTGTGTGAAGACAACCACACTGGGAAACTTTGTACCACTTATCCTTTATCAGTCCGGGTGTGTGTGTGTGTTTCCCAACTGTGCTCTGGAGCATTTGTGTGGCCACAGGAATTTTGGGTATGCATAGCATAGCAGATGGCCATCAACAGGGCTTCATGTGACCGGAGAGTGCAACTTTAAAAAAAAAAATCACTTGGAATACGATGTGAAGAAGTTTATTGGAAGACAGATGGGTGTGGTTAGGGTTCCTGGAAGGTGGAAAGTTTGAAACCCGCTGCTGGGGCAGCACAGAACACATTGTTTTGTATACAGTAGGTCTCAGCTCGAATTTCCGGCATCTCCATTGACAGGTTTTTAGGCAGCTGGGCTGGGGAAAAGACCACTGCTTAAGACTTTGGAGAGCCTCTGTCAGTCAGAGCAGACAGTACTGAACTAGATGGACCAATTTTGACTTGCTATACAGCAGCTTTGTATGCGGTCAAAGGACTTGATAACGTAAGCACATGGCCAAAGGAAAAGGCCACACAAACTTTGACAAAAATCAACTTTTCGGCATGCTACTTCAGCTCCCTCCCCCATTTCCGGGTTGGATATTGCTTTCCCTCACAGGACCAAAACAGCGGTTGATAGCTCGAATATCGTCACACCATTGCATTGGTTCCCTGCCCAACCCCTCCCAAGACAACCTTTAGAAACACTGAAGTCACACAGCACTTAATATCTGAGGTCTTTATTTAATTTTATATACAGTGTAAGCCACAGACAAGCCTGTGACGATCAGACAAGACAAATGTCAATCCCTCTCAACAATTAGCAGCTTAAAATACCTATAAACTACAGTGTTACGTTCACAAGTGTCATTTCTGTAACTCTTCCTCCTGTGCAAGTGAGTTTTTAGTTTTATACTTCTTAAAAAACCACACTTACAGCTATGTCAGTTGCCTACTGATGCACGGTACCACCTGGCATACACAATACAGACACACAGACCTCTTTTAGCCACATTCAGAATTCTCTTAGAAACTGGCAAGCAATCCAGTGAGGGCAAAGCACCCGCCTCCCTCCCTCCGTCAGGAGCTGGCTTCTTGGTTTCTACTGCTTGCAGCTTTCATTTCTTACAAGTCCTACCCCCACCCCATGTAGAAGAAAGATCATGGCCCAGCTGGCCAATGCACAAACCTACAGACCTCCTCAACGACATCAGGTTTTTAGGTGTCCACAAAGTAGGAATAAACTAATAAAGTAATCACTGTGAACACAATGTTATCACTTGAGGATACGCCCAGAACATATGAGGCATCATATGCAATGGTGGGAGGTATGAAAGAAACTCAAAACATGGTTAACTTTTCACTTTAGTAAAAAAAGAAAAGAAAAGGCAAATAGGGTTCTTTCCAACCATGTTGTAATAAGAGCAGAGCCACAGAAATTTACAGGCATGGCTAATTTATGCCCATGAATTTCAGTGGATCTACTCTTGAGTAGGACCGAAAATGTTTCATGAAGCATAGTAAGCATGTTAAAATATCACTTATCTTTCCTTCAAGGCAGTCTGCTACATTTATTCCTTTTTGTGATCAGCTGATATGTGATTAATATATTAAACACTTCACCCTCTCCAAATAAGAAATTTTATGGAAAACTAATTCCGTAACTCAAGGAGGTCCACAGCCGTAAAAAGAGCAATAGTAAGAGTAATGTCACACACACACACACACACACACACACTCATTCACTGGCAGACACTGCCTTTAAACAAGTCATCCAGGGACGCTTCACCTTCAAGAAAAAGAACACAGCACTTGCAAATGGGATGGGAGTTTTAAAGCTAGTTCACATTTCTGAAATAATTAACATCTCTTAAACAATTTGATGCAGCCACAGCCCTTCAGACCAACAGTAGGGAGAAAATGTATGATCTGCTAACCAAAATAAAATAAAATAAAAATAAAAATGGCAAAATGACAAGACAGGAGTCAGGTTAGGAGAGTTGACAGATAGGACTCAACAACACAAAGCACTTTTGGCAATCTTTCAGAAATATGATGGTATTGAGAATCACTTATAACTGTAAGCCAAAAGACCTTCACAGAACGGTCCTGGAGATCAGGGGGTCTATCAATCATTTTCCTTCTGGTAAACAGGACAGTTTGTTTATGGTACACTCAGAATTCAGAAACCATAAATGCATTTTTACAGGGGATGGGATTAAGCGCCACCCCCTCCTTTTAGACTTTAATGAGTAACAAAGTGCTCATTCATCATCCACTTTGTATTGGTTTGTATCCTGGGCTAAACAAATCTACAGTGAATTCAGAGTACCATCAAAAATCTGAAGGAGATGCCAGGATACGAGTTCCTGGAAGAGGCTCATTTCAAGCACTTCAGAATGCAGACCAAAACCTGCCCTTGTTGCTTCCTTTAGTATTTTTTTTAATGAAATACCGTGGAAATTGAGAAAGGGTGGAGAGTCGGATGCTATATCAAGTAAAGTGGGCATAAACTTAAGAGAGATTCTTGTCATGGCAGATCAGGATAAATGGGAATGGGAATACTAACAAATTCACTCTGTATCTGCAAGTCTAGGGAAACAGGAATGTTTATTTATTTTTTGGCTTGAGTCTGTTGAAACTGGCAATTCCTTAGAAGGACAAGCAGATATTTGCTCAGTGACAATGAGGAGTAATGTTATTATATTGAGGAACCTGAGTATATAAAGAGCCGTGAATCTGAAAAGTGATATGCTGAATCTCTTGAACCATGACTAGGGCAGAGGGAAGGTTTCTCGCTGCTGGAAGATAGCAATCAGAAATCAAGTCCCATTCAGGAAAGCAAGGGAAATGGTTACGCAGTTCTAGAGGATAAAGCCCTAACAGCAAGAGTTCCTGGACTTCCTATTCCACATTATTTTAGGTCACTTGGGCATTGTTAATTTCTTAAGATGCAATACTGACCAAGGGTACATTACAATAAATTATTGAATTCCAACAATGTAAAACAGACTTTTAAAAATCAACGAACTTGTTTCACAATGAAGACAGTGAGCCAGAATTAAGAATGAATCTGAATTCCAGAGATATAAACCCTATTGGCCAGTGTAAAAAAGAAAAAGGCTCCTGAAAGAAACACGTCACAGTCTTGTTCCAGTCCCAGGACCAGTTCATATGTTTCCAAAAAGGAAAGCAGAGGAACAAGCGGTCATTTCTTATGACACTTCTCCCCTAACTGCATGTCTTGCCCAGGACAACATTTTTCTCTCTCTCTCTCTCTCTGGGGCATCACCTTGACAGTCAATATAAATGTGGGTGGAGAATGAACCAGCAGAAGCCATTGGCGGTTACACTCCCCCCCCCCCATTTCTTGGTAATGTACAACCATCAGTCAGTAAAGCTGTACAAAATATTATTACTTATGGAGGGAAGGAGACTCTCTCCATCACATACTATATGAGAACAAGATGCACAGAAGGGCTCTAAACACAAAAACCCCCACCAACAGTGAACACTGCCAGCTTGCTAACAGGATAACTTTGGTTTCCATTATCAGGGGTTTATTTGAACAGTAAATTAAATCTGGGAATATCTAAGGGATTGGCCTTTTGCTCTGATGTTTCCTTAAGTGTTTACCCTTCCCTTAAAGATATAGGGCAACTTTCAGAACAGACCTGAAGCTGACTGGATGTAGGCTATTCGGCCACAAGCCTAGCTTTGGTATGCAAGAATCTAAATTGAAAATATAAAACCTATGGACTATCCGTGAGATTACATCTTCCAAGTACGAATTTTATTTTCAGAGCAGAACTTCAGCTCACTCACTTGGCCGTTTCAAAAGTTAGTTTTCATCTCTCCTTACGTCAGACAAGGATTTCTTTACTCTCTGAAAAGTATTCAGTTCTCTATATGTAACAGACCTTCCCACCACACCTTTAAAAGAAAAAGACACTATGTGAAGACTAAGAGGAGGAGAGAGAGCTCTCTTTGTGATGCTGCGTCGGCAAGTTAGGGAGAATACAAATCACACCTGAATAGGTCTGCACTCAAGATGCACTCGAAGCTGTTTTCTGCCTTCTCCAAAACCCTTTCAGGATAAGACAGCTCACACTTATTCACACATTTCTTCATTTCAGAACATCACTTCTTTATTTTAAAGGAAAACAAAAAGAGAGAGAGATGATGACCCTGCCCACCACTAAGTTCAAAAACAACCCCCAATAAGAATAATAAAAAATCCTATTAGAAACAATAAGGAAGCACTGAGAGTTTGAGTATTACACTCTTCAAGTATGCCATTCGGATTTTTAAATCTGTGACTATACATATATTAAAAAACCGTAAAAGTGCGACCAAGGGCATTTGCTTAAAGTATTTAAAGGGCTACTTCAAAATACTGTAGTACAACTGTGCAGTAACTATGTCTGGCATAACTTGTCCACTTCATATAGCTAGCCAAAAAGTTTAATAGGCCTTGCAGAAAGAGGGTGGTTAGCGGAAGAGGCCAACCCAGCAACAGATCCAGGGACTTCCATGCATTGCACTGGTCTTCCATTAGAGAAAGCCACCCTGAAGCTATACATTCGGACATGGAATGTGGTCAGGTTTCACAGTAGCATTATGGGATCGTCACGGTGTCACTGTGCACTAGATTAATCTTTATTACGCTTTATGTAACTGTCTTCTCCTCTCCCCCAACAGGTTTAGTACAGTAGTTCGCCATAATTTAAATCGCCCATTGGTGTGCTCCAAATTGGTGTTTTATTTTTGTACATTTAAGGAAACTTAAAGATTTGCATCCAAAGAGAACCATGCTACATAAAAAGTATCCAGGATTTTTTTTTGCCAAAAAGAGCTCTTGAATAAAATCTAAAAAATACTATTGCCAATGTGTCTCATAGAGAGAAAATGTTATTTTAACTGTAAACAAATTCACACTCTGACACTTTAAAACTTCAGCAGAGGAAGGAGTGGCTGATTAAGCTTTGCCATGCTCACTTGCCAGAGCAAACCGGAGTGGGTAGGGCAACAGCCAGCTCTTCTCGACATCATCTAGGGGGAGAAAAGAACCGTTCCAAGTAGCCAGTGATGGCGTCCCAGTGCTTCCACAAAAAGGCAATGAAGACCACTATAAATAAAGTGCTGAACGTCCTGCTGCGAGTTTTCATGAGGGGGACAACACAGTTGGCCACGGTGGAGACAAAGACCAACAGAACGGCCATGACAGCCAAGAGGATGTTAATTAGTTTGCCCAGGAGGTTTCTGGCAGTGGCATTTTCAAGACCTTCCAACTGGACAACTTGCTGCTGTTGCTGCTGCAGTTCCATCTTTGAGATTCTGGTTTGACATGCCTCCAGTGCCTCCTGTTGAGAGTAAGAGAACCGATCAGTAACTGCACAACACCTTATCTCATGCATATACATGTTGGTTTCATCCAAAAATGGGGAAGGGAGAGAGGCTGGCCTTGTTCTGTATTGCTTCCTACTCAAATGGGTCAAAAACTGCAGTGGGTTCCTGGACACATTTGGTTGGAATCACGCCAGTCTGCTGACAGTGGGATCAGGTGCCAAGGACACGGATGAAGAACTGGTTTTGCATATCCTGAGTCTAAATAAAGTTTGGGAGCTCAATACCTCAGGCATTCCTGCAGCCTTACTCACACTGCACAGGATATGAGTAACACTTGTTGGATTCATGTCCTGTAGCAAAAATCCCCTTCGTGCTGCACAGTGCATACAGGCATTTCGCAATGCAAACAAGCAGATCCGACTACAATGCAAGTTGCTTATTGCATTTACAACAGTACTTTCACAAGCCTTGGTGGTATGATAGATTCAGCCTCAGCAACAGTAGATGACAGTGGATCCTACCTGTTTTCCATTTCATGCTTTCATATCACAGGCCACTGTTATAAACAGTGCAACTGTGGGATTGAATGAAGAGACATAGCTCTTCAGGAAAGGTAGACTAATGCTAGTTCCCAGCTCAATTTCAGCTACCTGCCTGAACACGACCCCACACATCCCAGCATGAATACTTGTGTCTCATACCCCTCACCAACAATGGTGGCAGTTTATAAGTGCTCCAGACACTGATGTTTAATTTATGCTGAAGTAGCAACAGTACAGCCGGTGAAAATGGTTTATTATGATGATGATGATTACCATTTTTATTACTATTATAATTACCATTGAACCAGAAGGGGTTGAATGCACCTCTCTAATTTAATATCAACACCCTAAACCTACACAGACAGAGGGCCTTCTCGGTAGTGGCACCTGTCCTGTGGAACGCCCTCCCACCAGATGTCAAAGAGAAAAACAACTACCAGACTTTTAGAAGACATCTGAAGACAGCCCTGTTTAGGGAAGCTTTTAATGTTGAATAGATTATTGTATTTCCAGAGTGGCTGGGGAAACCCAGCCAGATGGGTGGGGTATAAATTATTATTATTATTATTATTATTATTATTATTATTATTACTACTACTACTACTACACACCTGGACAGTTTATGTGGCAGAATTTTGAACACTGTTTCCCCCAGCTGGAATAACAACAACAACAACCCTGTAAGGGATTACTTTGGCTGCATAACTTGGGTGAATGTGAAACAAGTAAGAAAGTATTTCACTGTGGTCAGGCACTTGTACTTGGGTACTTGTTCTTGGTGTTTATTTTGCAGCTGCAACTCTCCAAGTTCAACTTTCCAGACTTCTGAATTTCAAATACTTGACATACCCAGACCAAAAACTTCCCCCTCAAAACACATCCTTATTTGGGAAAGAAAAATGGAATAGGTTGCTTCCTGAAAGGCCTGAGAGGATATACAAAGCCAGCTACTGTTTTTAATTCAACATTTGTACAGATAGGATTCAAATTAGTGACAGACACATCCTGCCATCAGCTAACTGGGGAAAATACTATAAAAAAACTCTTATGCTTCACAGTGCAGCATTTTGGCCCAAACACACATGGAAAAGCTTTATTATAGCTTCCCTCAAATATGGAGGCAAACTCTCATTTGAACTTTTGAGAGTACTGTAGATGGTTAACTGGCTCCTGTTAACAAAGACTCCTGCAGTAAAAACAATGAGATAAATGTAATTCAGAATACAGGGCACAAAATCTGATTCCACTATTCATGGAAATTAAAGCGGAAACTGAACCAGCTCAATAGTTAAGAAAAATATAATCAGTTGACCATTTTCAATCTGCTTTCACCAACCTGGATGTCTCTGGCACGTTCATAAGACTGATAAGCTATTTTTTCCTCCATGCTGGCCAATTCCTGCTTTAAATTAAGGATCTCATTCTGGTGGAGCTCAGTCAGGTCATTCAGCTGCTCTTCTAGCCGTTCACATCTAGAACAGAGAAATATGGCCATCAAACATATTTTAAAAGTATCTACTTTGCATTTCTTTGCAAACTCAGGCTCAAAGAGATGACCAACCATTTTGAAAACCAGAGTTGGTGGCAGTGCTGGATTTAGGGTGGTGTGGGCGGTTCCCCCAAACAGGGCACTGAGCTGAGGGGATGCGAAATTTTGGCCTCACTCAGGGTGCCATATTGCCAAAGACTGGTGGATTCAATGTGATGGCAGGAAAATACATATTCCCACACCCGTGTAGGTCTTAAGGTGCTCTAAGACAGTAAAACTGAGATTTTCACTGGTAAGCAGCTAAATCTACCTCATTTGAAAGTCCTGTAGATTCTGCATGTTTTATGGACTTTTTAAAATGCAGCTTTAAACTTACAAAGAAAAGCAGGGTTTAGATTTCAAAACAAATTAAATATAGGAAAGTGTATCCTAGAATTCAAGGGTTTTGGTTTTCTTTGTGTAGTTTCACATCAGGCTTTAAATTTTCTGCTGTTCACATGCTGCACGTGAGCATATGACACATGGGAAAAATATAACTAGGTAACCTTGCACAACTATAATAATATATGTTCAAAAGGAACCCTGGGTTGCCTCATCAACTGTATTCTTGCTCTGACAGGGCTATTTAACATTCTTAAACTCTAATCAGATTCTAGAGAAGTCTGCCGTTCGTGACTGTTTTGAGGCTGCTGCAGCAGCTAGTACAAAACATTATGGTTGGTTTCTGGGCCAGGAATCACTTCACACCAATGTTACAGCACATATCAGTGGGCTTTCTATAGCCTTCTAAGCATAAATTTAAAGGCACCCAGTATAATGAACTCAAATAAGGCAGTGTTTCCCAACCGGTGTTCCGCGGCACACTAGTGTGCCGCCAGACGTTGCCTGGTGTGCCGCGGGAAAAATTGGCGGGGGGGGGGGGGAATAAAGGGGAAAAAAATTATTCCCCTACCGCCAGGCGTGGGGCTGGGGCGGGGGAAGCCCGAGCTTCCCCCTCCCCCAGAACGGGACCCAGAGCCATGCCGAAGCTGCGCGCAGCTTTGGCATCGCTCTGGGAGCTTGCGGGGCTGGGGGAGGAGGAACCCCTCCGCCAGCCTCCAAACCATGTCGGGAGACAGCGGGATGGCGCGCTGCGCCTCTCCCGCTGTCCCCCGAGTTTGCAGGGCTGGCGACGGGGAGGAGCAGGCTTCTCCCCCCGCCAGCATTCTAGCCAAGTCGGGGGGCAGCGGCAAGGGCGCGCTGCGCCTCTCCCGCTGTCCCCCGAGTTTGCGGGGCTGGCGACGGGGAGGAGCAGGCTTCTCCCCCCGCCAGCCTTCCAGCCAAGTCGGGGGCAGCGGCAAGGGCGCGCTGCGCCTCTCCCGCTGTCCCCCGAGTTTGCGGGGCTGGCGATGGGGAGGAGCAGGCTTCTCCCCCCGCCAGCCTTCCAGCCAAGTCGGGGGGCAGCGGCAAGGGCGCGCTGCGCCTCTCCCGCTGTCCCCCGAGTTTGCGGGGCTGGCGATGGGGAGGAGCAGGCTTCTCCCCCCGCCAGCCTTCCAGCCAAGTCGGGGGGCAGCGGCAAGGGCGCGCTGTGCCTCTCCCGCTGTCCCCCGAGTTTGCAGGGCTGGCGATGGGGAGGAGCAGGCTTCTCCCCCCGCCAGCCTTCCAGCCAAGTCGGGGGGCAGCGGCAAGGGCGCGCTGCGCCTCTCCCGCTGTCCCCCGAGTTTGCGGGGCTGGCGATGGGGAGGAGCAGGCTTCTCCCCCCGCCAGCCTTCCAGCCAAGTCGGGGGGCAGCGGCAAGGGCGCGCTGCGCCTCTCCCGCTGTCCCCCGAGTTTGCGGGGGCTGGCGATGGGGAGGAGCAGGCTTCTCCCCCCGCCAGCCTTCCAGCCAAGTCGGGGGGCAGCGGCAAGGGCGCGCTGTGCCTCTCCCGCTGTCCCCCGAGTTTGCGGGGCTGGCGATGGGGAGGAGCAGGCTTCTCCCCCCGCCAGCCTTCCAGCCAAGTCGGGGGGCAGCGGCAAGGGCGCGCTGCGCCTCTCCCGCTGTCCCCCGAGTTTGCGGGGCTGGCGATGGGGAGGAGCAGGCTTCTCCCCCCGCCAGCCTTCCAGCCAAGTCGGGGGGCAGCGGCAAGGGCGCGCTGCGCCTCTCCCGCTGTCCCCCGAGTTTGCAGGGCTGTCGATGGGGAGGAGCAGGCTTCTCCCCCCGCCAGCCTTCCAGCCAAGTCGGGGGGCAGCGGCAAGGGCGCGCTGCGCCTCTCCCGCTGTCCCCCGAGTTTGCGGGGCTGGCGATGGGGAGGAGCAGGCTTCTCCCCCCGCCAGCCTTCCAGCCAAGTCGGGGGGCAGCGGCAAGGGCGCGCTGCGCCTCTCCCGCTGTCCCCCGAGTTTGCGGGGCTGGCGATGGGGAGGAGCAGGCTTCTCCCCCCGCCAGCCTTCCAGCCAAGTCGGGGGGCAGCGGCAAGGGCGCGCTGTGCCTCTCCCGCTGTCCCCCGAGTTTGCGGGGCTGGCGATGGGGAGGAGCAGGCTTCTCCCCCCGCCAGCCTTCCAGCCAAGTCGGCGGGGAGCGGCAAGGGCGCGCTGCGCCTCTCCCGCTGTCCCCCGAGTTTGCGGGGCTGGCGATGGGGAGGAGCAGGCTTCTCCCCCCGCCAGCCTTCCAGCCAAGTCGGGGGGCAGCGGCAAGGGCACGCTGCGCCTCTCCCGCTGTCCCCCGAGTTTGCGGGGCTGGCGATGGGGAGGAGCAGGCTTCTCCCCCCGCCAGCCTTCCAGCCAAGTCGGGGGGCAGCGGCAAGGGCGCGCTGCGCCTCTCCCGCTGTCCCCCGAGTTTGCGGGGCTGGCGATGGGGAGGAGCAGGCTTCTCCCCCCGCCAGCCTTCCAGCCAAGTCGGGGGCAGCGGCAAGGGCGCGCTGCGCCTCTCCCGCTGTCCCCCGAGTTTGCGGGGCTGGCGATGGGGAGGAGCAGGCTTCTCCCCCGCCAGCCTTCCTGCCAAGTCGGGGGGCAGCGGCAAGGGCGCGCTGCATTTCTCCGCTGTCCCGGACGGCTTTCAAAAGCCTGCCTTCAAAAGCCGTCCGGGACAGCGGAGAAACGCGCTGCCTTTCTCCGCTCTCCCGGGAAGGCAGGCAGGGGGGAGCAAAGACTTTCGCCCCCGCCCACCTTCAGAAGAGGTCCAGGACCTCTTCTGAAGGCGGGCGGGGGGCGAAAATCTTTGTCCCCCCTGCCTGCCTTTCCAGGGGCTTTTAAATCGCCCCGGACAGCGGAGAAGTCCTCCGCTGTCCCGGGCGATTTTAAAATGCCGCCCGCCAGCATTTTAAGATTGCCCCGGACAGCGGAGAAGTCCTCCGCTGTCCCGGGGTTTTTTAAAATGCTGGGGGTGGGAAGAAAAGCCCTTGTCCCCCCCCCCAGCCTTCAGAAGAGGTCTGGGGACAGACTGTCCCCGGACCTGGTCTGAAGGCGGTTTCCCTAGGAACGCATTAATTGATTTTCAATGCATTCCTATGGGAAACCGTGCATCGCAAGACGGGGCTGGTGGTGCGAGCTTCAGAATAAGTGGGATCCGCGTGCGCGAGACCGAGATCGCGGGTAAGGAGCTCAGCCCTGGGCAGGAGGAAGTGGGGCCACGCGTGCGGGCCACATCCCCACAGAGAGCGAGCCTCCCCCGGCCCACCACTCCGGGCAGGTCCACTCGCATGAGGGGGCGGCGATGGCGATGGCCGGCAGCTTGCCTGCAATGCCATCCCTCGAGCAGGCGAGGAGCCCGGAGGCTACCAGATGCGAGTCCTCTTTCCCACCCTGCTCGGGAGTCCAGAGCACTTGGTCGCATTCAGGATCTAGAGTGGGGAAGCGGGGCTTGTGTCTGGGCTGGACACATTGGGCTGCCTGTGCCGCTCGACCTGCGGGGAGAAATCAGGGTGGGAGTCACGACCGTGAGGCAGGGCTGCCAAGTGTGGCAGAAGAGGACACGGCCGTCGCACCTGTCCTTAGGTAGGAGCTTCTTCCGTGTCGACCTGCTGCCCTAAAGTCTTGGCTTTTTTCTTGGCTTTTTGGCGGTTGGCACAGAAGGAAGGCAAGGGGGAGGGGAAAAAATTGAAACTTACACTTTCGTGCGTCCCTCCCGGCATGACGCTGCGCGCTGACGTCACGGGGCTGTAATGGTGGTGTGCCTCGAGATTTTTTTCATGAAACAAGTGTGCCTTTGCCCAAAAAAGGTTGGGAAACACTGAAATAAGGGCATCTCAAATTGTAGGAAGTGCCACAGAGCTGTCCAAACATGTTCGCATGACAAGGGACCTTTTCTTATTTCTAGGGCTGGTTTCCTTTTCATGACAGCACACTGTTACTGTTACGCAGCCCCTTTAAGAGACAGCCTCACTTGCTGCCTCCCCTCTATGCAAATACAGTGGTACCTCGGGTTAAGTACTTAATTCGTTCTGGAGGTCCGTTCTTAACCTGAAACTGTTCTTAACCCGAAGACCACTTTAGCTAATGGGGCCTCCTGCTGCCGCCGCTGCACAATTTCTGTTCTCATCCTGAAGCAAAGTTCTTAACGCGAGGTAATATTTCTGGGTTAGCAGAGTCTGTAACCTGAAGCACATGTAACCAGAGGTACCACTGTATAAGCTGCCTAGTTATGTATAGTAAAATGGAGGGGAAAATACATGTCCAGAGTTAGCAACTGGTGTGATATTCTTATATTTGCAATTATAAAGGGGGTTGGGGGAGGGAATAGTTAGTACCTAAAAGGTAGCCTTAGTTGACAAGTGGATCCCAAAAGGTTGAGTAGGTTTATATGCAGTTTCCACTGGAGAACGTATGCAAACCACTGGCTTACAAGGGAACACTTTGCCACATTGCCCTGGCAGTGGAGAAAGGTTGCTTCTGCTCAACATCCTTGAAACATTCAGAGGGTCCAGGGGCAGAATTTGGCTTGGGGGAAGCATTCCAAAGAAAACACTCTTTCCAAGCCAAGTATTTCCTCCCACCTCTGGGTGATAGCTTCAGGACAAAGGAAGGATGATTTTGCTCAACATCTCTGCACCACAGGTGCTTTCACAGAGCGAGTGATTATAAAGGATAGAAGGAAAATCTGGCTCAGACAAACTGACACTAAAAAACAAAATTTGGCACAGAGTCCATTTTCCCACCATAGTGTGTAAGAGAACCTTGTAATCTCTGGATGTGGCAGAGCTTCCTGACCCTTTTCCTGCCCAGAAATGTCTTCTGTTCACTGGACAGAAACTAGCCATGTTTGCCTGCCTTTTGCCAATTAAACCATGTTGTTACCTTCTCCTACTAGTGATATTCTTCAACAGCAGAGGAATGGACACATGTACAATCTTCATTAGGGAGGTTTAGGGAGGTATTTGCAGAAAAGGCAGGGGTTAGTCCAACCTGTCAGTATTTTTCTGTAAAGGCAGCAAGCCTCTACCTTGAGTAGAAACCCTCAATGACCCTACAGCACCCTCAGAGGATGCAGGCACTGAAGCTTACTAATATATAGTGATATTTTGGGTTTATTGTGTCCTATATTGTGAGATTATTGTGTTTTTGGAAACACTGCAGTCCGAGTACCATGGGGATCAGTTATAAATGCCAATATAACATTAAAAAAAAATTCCTGCAATTTTTGGCTCTCTCCAAGGCCTTGTATCAGAGGGCAAAGAATAATACCAAATATGTAACATGTTACCATGCTATCAAAACATTCCTTTATTTGTGGTGCCTCACTCAGGGTATTTTCTTCCAAGAGGCTTGCCTGGGGGCTGCATTAATGTCTTTTTGGTGCCAGGTACAGCCCATTTTATTTTCCCATGCTTTGAATTTGATGAGATACTTTAATCCTTCTCTTGTATTGATTGTTTTATAACGTATTTGTTTTTTCTGCCTTGGATATACCCGTTGAAGGGCAATATCAATTCATTAAATGAACTGAAGGTATATGGGCTGAGCACTGTGATGTTATTCAGAGCTGCAATCCCACACATATTTAAGTTCTTTTGAGCTCAGTGGGGCTTACTGCTGAGTAGGTAATGCATGTGCTGCAACTCCCTTAACATTCTGAATTTTAACTGGCATTTTTGCAGTACTCTGGGTGCTTACTGCCTCGGTTCCGCAGCATACGTAGATATTTGCCTATGGTCTAATAGTTGGGGGTGATTTTAATTTGCTGCAGTGTCCAATTTTCTCTTTCACGATGAGACATCCAGTGCTCCCTTTAGATGTCACAGCACTGCTATGGGAAGCTCCTGCACCACCGCTTTAACATCTAGAGGACACCCAAGACGTAAATTGATTGGAATATGCCATAACAATTTTAAAAAGCTGATTGTCTTGATCTTGCAGTAAGAGGTCTCAAACCCAGCATTTTACTTGAATCGTAGAATGTGGAGTTGGAAGGGACCATGAGGGTCATCTAGTCCAACCCCCTGTAAAACAGGAATCATTTTGCCTAACTTGGGGCTCGAATCCATGACCCGGAGATTAAGAGTCTCATGCTCTTACTGACGGAGCTAGACATCTTCTGTTTTGACGTAGCAAATGCACACCTTTGTATACAAAATAAAAATAAAAATCGTCTGTGTGGTACAGGATGTGCCTGTATATTTTGTGGTTAGCATAAGTACCCACTGTTCTAAAGCTCCACATAATATGCATCACTTTTTACATCATGATTTCAAATTGAGACTATAAGAGAAGTCTCCAAAACAAAGTTCTGCATATCACAAGCCAGCAAAGCACTAAATGACTGGTCTCAAGGCTATCTTGGTAGACTAGAATTAAACAGCAACAGAATGGAGATCAAAGGGATTAAACTTGTAAAAACTGAAATACAAATGCAGCCCAACACACTAATTGAACTTCTAAGATGATCCCATGAAGACTGGCAGTCTGTGAGTGAACGGAGTGCATCTAAGCTATCTAAAGTCATTTTTCGCTCTGTAAAGAAAGCTTCAGGCATAAATTGTAACAAGAGAGACTCAGTAGAAACTGATGACAGCACATAAAGTCCTGTTTTATCAAGTAAACATCAGCTATATTCTCAAAGCTATTAAGCAACAGGCTATTTTGGAGTTTGGTCTCACTGATAAAGGATCAATTGCAAAAAGAACAGGCATGCAGACAGAGCTGGATTACCAAAGAGGGAAGTAAAAGGAGTGGCTAATCAGTCTGGACTATGAGGCCACATCAACTGCCCAATGGACAGGAGGCACAGCTTCTGCCAAGGCTTCTAATAACTTCTGACACTACAGCACAGGGCAGAAGTGACTTGCGGAAATCATATTGTCATCAAAAAATGCTGGCTGGGTGGAATGGGAGGGGGGAATCAGCAGATGAGACAGCTCTAGCAGCACCAAGTCTCAGCGAACAAAGGCAACTACAATACCATCAGCAAGAAGGCAGGCTGCAGACAAACAGGGAATGATAAACAAACTACATGCAACGCCAACTACTCTAATTAGAGCAGGAATCGCTAACACGGTGTCCCCTAACGATCACAGGACTCTAATTCCCATCAGCCCCAGCTAGCATGACCAACGGACAGGAAACTAAGGTCGAACCATCTATGAAGGTTACCACACTGGCTACCACTGCATTAGAGAAATAAAATTTTGTACAGGAAACGGAACCCTTTGGTGTAACCCCCTGACTTTCATACTGGGGTCATTTTTAAACACAAGAACGGAGAAATGCCTGCCTTGAACTCCCATACCGATTCTACCTATGGCCTTCAGCAAACTACCATATGCTTTCTTGGCATCAGTTATCACTTCACCAAGGCCAAGGGAGAGCCCCATCTTTTGGGTGTCTTAAAGTAGATTTTACTAATCCCTCAGCAAGGAACCTTACACAGTAAAAAAGGCAACGAGAGTTAATGAATAAAGCTTTTGACGCAATGCTCTTTGTTTTATCTTTAATGGCAGTAACAGCTACAAAAGCTGCCAGAAAGGGAACTTCCACACTACTGAGGGGAAGAGGGGAGACAGCATGATTTTAGCTTTATAGTAAAGGAGTGCAATTAACCTCCTTTCTGTTAGGAAACATAACTATTTATATAAGCAACTTTTCCTTATAAACAGAGGATGGCAGCCAGGCATCTGCCAAAACTCTGTCTAGCTATAGAATCTTCCTGACAGAGGGGCTCTACACACACACACACAGAACTCAGACGTGTGACTGACATAGGAAGTTGCCTTATACGGAATCAGACTATCTAGCTCAGCATTGACTGGCAGTGGGTCAGACTGGGGTCTCTCCCAGTCATATCCTGAAATGCTGGGGGCTGAAGCTGGGACTTTCTGCATGTAAAAGAGGTGCTCTACCACTAAGCCTAGGCCCTTCTTACCATTTTATGGCGCATAGGAGATAGCATATATTTGACAACAAGTGTGCTTTTTCCCCTCCTTGCAGCTTAATGCTACAGATATCAACTATAAACTGAACTAGTTTAACACATAAAAACATAAAGAATAGCAGAGAGGGGTTGGAGATCTTACAGCATTAGAAAATTACAATTCTCAAGGTTGGGGGCTATGGGGCTTAAACCAGTTTGAGAAATTTGGTGTAGATGTACGTTACAACAACCAAATGCAATGTGAGTGTTTAAAAATCATGAATACATTCCCTCACCCTAGGGAAAAAAAGAGTCTAGTCATAGGAACATCTGAAAAAAACATCTGGGAAAGGGCCACAGCTAGTAGAAGAGAACACAGATTGCATGCAGGAAACTGTGGCTTTAATTAGTAGCATTACTAGTTAAGTTCACCTTAAGTAGCAGGATTAGGAAAGACTTGAGATCCTATGAGCCACTTCTGGGAACAGGTAACAATGGCCTAATGAGTGTATACCAAGATGTCTAAAAGCTAGTTTCATGTGATACAGAAGGGTGATGAGGAAGAACTCTTGGGATAATGTTGTTATTTTGCAATCAGTTAAACATCTCTATCTTGATTGCTTAAGGATAATGATATTTTAACACTATCTTTAAGCCCAATGAAGCAGATATAACCTCAAAGTTACAAATACAACAAAGGGAATAAAAAATATACACTCTGTGCTTCATTGTCTGCAAATGGCAAAAAAGCAGTCAAAACCAATTAGTGCTGCCTAAAGGTATATCATAGCCTAAGACCCATATGCCAAATTATACAGTAAGTTATTTTATTCAATAATAAAACACGGCCCGCTCATGCTTGCTCTAAGGCTGAACAAATACTATCAGCATAATATTGTATAATTAGGGCCCTCCCAATTTCAATATGGAATCATGGACCAACAAATCCAAATATCTGACTTTTTTTTTTAATATGTAACTCAAGGTACAACTTTTTTGAGGCAACAAAAGAACAGCAACTACCAATATCATAATAATAGACAGGGTGAAGTATTCTCCAAGATTTGGTGGCCCTGAAGGTATCACAAACCTTTAGAGAAGCATAGCACTGAAGCCTGCAAAGTGCATTTTGTTAAGTGTTGGGTGACTACAAGACCAGTATTACAACTACTGCACTGGCTCACAGCTTCCAGAGTAAAGTCCTAGCTTTGGCCTTTAATTTTTTTTCACAGCCATAGAACATTCTTGCTCCTAGAACCCTCTGCCTTCCACCCTCTCCCTCTATGTAGATCATTGGAAAAGGTTGGGCTCAAAAAATCCCTCATCCAACAGGATGAGGATTTTGAGATGGGCAGGGAACTGTAGCACAGGGCTACTTTGGTTTCTAAGACTGGGACTCAGAATGCGTGTGCTGTGAAAAGTAGCAAGCTGAAAGAGGTGAAGGTCTGGAAGAAGAAACCTGCACATGTAGAAGGGGACAATTGTGTATGTGTATATATATTACGGGTGCTGCCTGATACCTGTGAGACTATTAGTGCCTGTAAGACTAATGCATGCATCTAGGTGTGCTTTAACATCAGTAGTATCAGTGAAAAGTTAGACTGAAATGCTCACCGGTATCTTTCTTCCTGCAGAGCCTGCATTATCAAGGAATAATCCCTCTGATAGTGAACCTTAAGGTTCTCAAAAGATTCCTCCAGCCGTCCTTGCATCTCTCTGATCTCTTGAATCTCATGCAGTATTGCATCAAACCCTGAGCTCTGCATATCCAGAGTGTTCGTTTTGGAGCTTGGTGCTCCCACAGGGATCCCTGTGGTGCTGTTGGCCCCCACAGAGCCTGATGTGGCACTGGAGCAATCGTCCTCGCTGCCATATTTTGGGCTTGACTGAAAATTATGAACACCTAGAGTTTTCCCCCCAGTCCCATCTTCTTGACCTTCTTCCAAGGAGTCCTTCAGATTAGCAATATTGTCTGCACTCCCAAACCTGTTCCTAATGAGTGAGGCAATCTCCCGGGGTTTGGAGACGACAGCTCCTGCTGCCGAATGGGTTGCTTGGGAGAAACTGGAAAGTCCACCCTTAACACTGTCTACCACTCCTTCGCTGAAGCCGGTGACCTTTGCACCCACATCTTTCAACCCCTGGTGCATATCCCTCAATACATCTTTGGGCTGTCGAGGGATACCATTCTGTTCGATCTCTCGCAGCTTCCGATGGTAGTGCTCTAGCTTCTTCTGCAACTGGAGGATTGTCTGGGCTGACTTCTGGTTCTTCTTCTCAAATACCTGCTTGATGCGGGCACTCTGTTGCTTGTCCGCATTATTGGCCAGTTTTAGGTATTCAGCCACATTGTCATCCCGAGCTGTTTGCTCTATTTTGATCTGCTCAGTCAACTTCAGTATTTTTTGTTGCAGGTGGGTGATGGCCACTTTTGTGCGCTGAGGATCTGGCGTTCCATCAATGGAATCTGCGTTGATGCTGCACTCTGTGCTGGAGGCCACTGCACTGGATGTTTGTGCTAGACTGCTTACATCTAATCGCTCAATCTGGGGGAAAGAATAAGAAAGTAAACATTACAAACTGTTTTAATACCATGCAGTCTCCACTCAAAATGCACTTTGCTTCATCTATGAAGCAAACATATATTTATTTTATTATTATCTTGTTTCTTTAGGTATTGTTCTTCAATGTTCAGGTGAAACCTCTAAATCAGTGAGAAGAATACCAGCAAGCCTCTCCAGTTTTTGGAGAACTTAAAAGGATGAGGGTCAAGAAATTTCATCCAGACGCTAGCTTCAATAAAGTGAAGAGCAAAGGAGTTAACTGTGCTGGGTCATATGTATTATCCTGTACAACAGAGAGAGTAATGTGATACTTCCAAAAGCTCTATATTTCCAGCATACATAGCAAGCACAGTAATAGTATGTATAGCAAATAAACCTTTTAAGTAAATTCAGTCTCTTATTGTGTGACTGTGTGTTCATGCTTCCTTTCCACATACGATCCAGGGCCAGCACGGATCCCAATCTGTTGTAAACCACTTTGTGAAACTTTGTTTGAAAAGCAGCCTATAATTTTTTAAAAAAATAAAAAAATACAGTTGGAATGTGGGGGCCACATCCCCCAGAACAGGAGTATGCTTGTGCAAATGGTTGAATAGGTGAGCATCCGAAGTAAGGTTCATTCAACACTATGAGGTATCAATATCATGACTGTATCTAAACTTCCAGGATGATTCACCTTCGTTCTCATGTACCCACCCGAGTCTGAAATCTACATCAATTTACTGAGCACAAAAATTCCATAGCAGCCAGAGATGCTGAAACTCTCCCAAACAAAATATACTGGTATGTAGCCAAGCCTCAAAAATGTCTACAATGGGAAAAGTCACATGGAAATGAAATTAGCATTTAACTTTCTCAACATATTGACTACTCTTATTAAGTAAACCCTTAATAAAAACTTAACTACAATTGTTTTTTCTTTTTAACGGGAAAGAAAGGATCCCCCTTTCTCTAACCTACCTTGGCTTTTCTGAGCCGCAATAGCTGTTCCCAGTGCATGACTTGAACAAAGGAGCAACATGCCTACAATAGCTCTGCTGAAAGCTATTCTACACTCACTCGCTGCATGCAGTAAAATGAAGTCTTAAGGAAGGTGGCTTAATACAGAAACCAATGAATCATTTAATTACTCAGCAGCTCCTCCCCAAACAGGGAAGGCATTAGTTCATGAAAAATAACAGCATGACATCATGTGAGCTGTGGACTCTTTAACACACAGGCTCTCTCTCTCTCTCTCTCTCTCTCTCTCTCTCTCTCTCTCTCCCTCTCTTTCTTTAAAAGCAGTCCAGAGAAAACAAAGGAAGCTGTAAAGACTTGCCAGCAGATGAAACATGATTCCGCCCTACCTACCACACATAGTTGAGAACCAATGCAAAGGGTAAGTTGGAGCCAAAAGGTGTCATCTGAGGTGGAAGGCACCCAAGGAGGAAGGGGCAATCTTTAAACCACACCAACCTTCACAGTGTGTTCTGCCAATGGAGCAAGTTAAGCTATTTAAACAAAATTAAGAATAGAATGGTTTAAGAGTGACTTGACCCAGTATTAAAACAAATTCAAGAGGTGTAGACATTGAAAGCACTATAGGATTTTTTTTGGGGGGGTATTAGTAATCCCCTCCATTAAAAATGGAAGGAAGTTAAATATGTACACATTTATGTTCCACAACTCTGAGGGGTCACAACCCTTAACTACTGACTGCATGTCCCATTAGCAGCAATCACCAGGGGGTGATGTGGGTAGGAAAAATAAACTGCACTATGCCTACTATAGATAAAGGCTGTCCAAGTGCTATAAAAGGTAAAGGGACCATTAGGTCCAGTCATGACCGACTCTGGGGTTGCGGCGCTCATCTCGCTTTATTGGCCGAGCTTCCGGGTCATGTGGCCAGCATGACTAAAGCCGCTTCTGGCGAACCAGAGGAGTGCATGGAAATGCCATTTACCTTTCTGCCAGAGCGGTACCTATTTATCTACTTGCACTTGACATGCTTTCGAACTGCGAGGTTGGCAGGAGCAGGGACTGAGCAACGGGAGCTCAACCCATCGTGGGGATTCGAACCGCCAACCTTCTGATTGGCAAGTCCTAGGCTCTGTGGTTTAACCCACAGCACCACCCGCATCCCACAAGTGCTGTAGATAAGGCTTAAATTAAGATGTACCAAAATAAGGCACTCTCTTGGGCAAGGCTTATCTACAAACACACACACACACACACACAAACCTACTGCAATGAGTACTTGCTCCTGGACCTTGAGTTTTCTTTGCAGTTTGCAAACTTGACATAGGCCAGCAAATTTCATTTTACATGTAGCTTCTGTGTGTGCTATCAGACTTTACTCTTTTTAATGCCCTCTTCTGTTAAATCTTTGGCTGGGAAGCTGAAATCAATTTGAAAAAACTTTAGACCAGGTGATACTAGGAACCTTAGTTAGCCCTTTAACTGAAACTCTCAGCTAGTGGGTAAATATTAATCTTACTTTTTGACAAAACTGAATTGCTTCCTGAAAGTGGAGCTCTCCAAGTGTAAACAGTTTTATTGCTCAGGAAAAGCAATGAATGATCTCAGTTCCTCAACTGAGCGCATGGCACACTAGACACTAGGCACACTTACAAGGGTTACACATACGGTGAGGGGGGAAAGTATTTGATCCCCTGCTAAATTTGCCCGTTTGCCCTCTGACGAAGAAATGACCAGTCCATAATTTTAATGGTAGGTTTACTGTAGCTGTGAGAGACAGAATAACAACAGGAAAACCCCCAGAAACCCAGAAGACAAAAGTCAGAGATTGATGTGCATGCAAAGAATAAAGCTGGTTTTAAAAGGGTTTTAGATAGCCATTGATAGTCTTGTCCTCGATAAGTATTGTCATGCTACAATGGCCATGTATCAGAGGTGGTACCCCACTCAATTTCAGTGGGGAATGTTCTGTTGCATTCATGTTCCTGCATGCATCTGGTTCCCATAGGCCAAAGGTTTTCAACCTTTTTAGGTTCACGGCTCCCTTGACCAACTACATTCTTTCTTCGGTACCCCTGTGAGGCTCAGGAGCCTAGTTATGTCACCCCTTGCCTGCAGAGCTGGCAGCCCCTCACCCCTTTTTGACCACCCTCCCTTGTGGAGTGTTCCCTCAGCCTCCTCTCTTCTACCCTCTCCTTGGGAGTCCTCTGGGCAGCCGCAGCTGCCACCACTGGTCTCTGAGCTCCCCCCCCCCCGCCCCAAAGAGAGGTACCTCCTCACACTGCCACACAGAGGTCTGGGAAGCCCCCCCTGGCCAGACCCAGAGGCACCATTTGCCAGAGCTGCTGCCACAAACCTCTGTGCAAGCCTTTGGGAGGCAGAGACGCAATAGGGCATCAGAGGGAGGGAGGGAAAGAAAGAGGGACAGAGGTCAGTGTTGGCCACGGCACCCCTGACCATGATTTAAGGTACCCCAGAATGCCACGGCACACTGGTTGAAAACCACTGCCACCGGCATCTGGTTGGCCACTGTGGCTACAGAATATAGGACTAGGTGGCCCTTTGGTGTGATCCAGCAGGGCTTATGATCGTAAGTGGCTTTTTGTCTGAATCACTTATTTCTGAAGGTGTGTTTGAAATTTCTCATGAGAAGTAGCAATCGACACTATAATTAGTCTGACAATGTGCTACTCCTTACAGTTTCAGTTTCCCCCCCAGAAACTGTGCACAGAGTGGCAAACAAGAAAATGAAGTTTCTCTATGCATGTGCACCTGTTGACCCATCTATACAAATAGCAAGTGCTTTTGGATTTCAGAAAACTGGGTCAAGAGCAGTGTTGTGTCTTTATCCAGGGAGTAACTGCCTTGGATTGCTGTCATAGTGTATGGCTATATAGTAAGTTGCATTGCCAAACTTGGCTCTTAACCACTAGCTAATAACTATTTACGTTGAACTTACCAGTTGTATTTCATTTTACAGCTTTGATAATTGTAAGTTCATTCAAATAACCCTTATTTCAACTATAGGGCAGGTTTCAGAGACAAGTGAGGGAAGGTGATGGGGGTATTCTAACTCTGTTGAACTCCCAAAAGGTGTTATCTGGCATGTGATAAGCTTTGACTTTTAAAGCAGGGCTCCGAAAAAAGACACGCACATTCCAAATCTAGTTGAAAGAGTTTAGTGATTGTTAAAGGGGAGGCCCTACTTCTTCCAGTCACTGTGATTTTCTCTCTGGAATTTTGAGGACAGCCCTGCTTGAAGATCTTAATAGGCAGCCGCATCACACAAGGAGGGAGGAGGAGTCTTTGAACCATGCAGGTATGTAGGGCTTTAGTAGTCAATAAGCACCTTGAATTGGGCTTGGACACAAACTGACAGTCAGTGTAAACACTGTAATGTAGGTTGTAGATGGGCGTACACACATAGCCTTATCAGTTACATTCTGCATCACTTGAATTTTCTGGACCATTTTCTAGGGCAGCCCTTGAGGAACACAGCTTTGAACATGTCTTACCATGGAACAGTGGCAAACCAAGTTTAAGGAATCTCTGGCCCACGTGCCTTGTTAGGCCCATAAGGCCTCACCCTTTTGCCTCACAAGGCATTTTGGCCAAGCCACCTCCACCTGCCCTACACCTGACATCAGAAATAGGCATGCAAAGACCTGGCTCAAGCCAATAGGGAGTTTGCAGGCACACCTACAAAGCCCCAATGATCATCTGATTAGTGCTGATCACTGATACTTTGCCTGCATAGTTTGATTTCACGTGGGCAAAATAGGGTCACCTCACATCATTGTGACATCAGGTGAATGACAGGCTCCACCAACCTGCCAAACATGGTTCACAGGGCTTGGGGAAAATAATAATCTGGATTACCGGCCAGAAACAATACAGACTAAAACGCATCCCTGATTAACTGAGCAGCACACTTTTAAAAAAATGTTTATTATTATAGTAACTGCAGACTGGAGGCACCATTTATTCAAAGCAGTTTTCTTAAATCCTAGCAGATAAGAGGAAGC